AAGAATGAGACTTTTTTCCTTGGGGTAGCTCAGGAGAATTCCTCCAAAGCCAGCACTGTGGGGTGGGTGTTTGCTGTGCTCAGCCAATTTCCAGATGATTTACTCTTGCCTTCCCCTGCCCACAGGTGCTGCGGGATATGTGCAAGCAGGGCTATCGGGATGCACTGCACTTCCTGAAGAAGAATGGTGAGGCACTGGGTGTTTGTGGGGTGCACTGAGCTGCCTGCTCTGTGCCAGGCTTGGTACCTTGGCTTTAAGGGTAGTCAGTGGTGCATGTGAAAAGTGGAAGGGCAGAACTGAACTGTGCCTCAGATACTGGAATACAGAGTTCCTGTTGATAAGTGTTCTAACTCTTTAGGAGGCAGAGGTGGAGCAGTCACCTTTCCAGTGCATTGCAGAGGGACTCTAACCACTCTGCTATCAGAGCAGTGGTTTTGGCACAACTAAGTGTTGAATCTACTTACTAGCACAATATTTAGCACCAGTGCCGTTTGGATCTCCTGCAGATCTTTTTGTATGCAGCTGGGGCATGTCCAGCGCGGGGCAGAGTGCAGGGCTGTCCCCAACAGCCCCGACAAGGGGCACTTGGGCACTGCTGTTGTGTCACTCGCTGCCCTGTGCCATCCCCGGGCTCTTGCCCGCCTTGTCTGTGCACTTGCTGCCGCCTGCTGTCCATGGACAGCGGATCTGGCGCTGTTGGCTCTGGGATGCGAGCCGGGACAGCTGGGTTAACAGCGGTCACACAGCTGTGCTTGTGGATTGCGCTGCGGGAGGGAAATCAAGATTGGTGACTGGCAGATTATAGCAGTAATACCTCTGCCAAACGGCACCCTGCGGAACTTAAAGGGGAAATGTGAGAATTTCTGGTGGAGAAAGAGAGACAATCATAGAAATTTAGGGATTGGAATCCTCTAGTCCCAAACCCCTGCGCTGGGCACGGACACCTCCCACCAGACCAGGTTGCTCAAGACTTCAACCAGCCTGGCTTTGAACACTGCCAGGGCTGGGGCAGCCACAGCTTCTCTGGGCGACCTATGCCAGTGTCTCACCATTCTCGCAGAAAAAAACTTTTTTTTTTAGTGATCTGAAACCAGCAACGTTTCTCATTGTGATAGGCACTACAAGAGATATAAGCTAAAGATACTGGGTATGGCCTTAATCTGAGGGGAGTTAGGATGAAGTGAGGACTAACAGTCTAAAGGCAAGGCAGGGCAGCTAGTTTGTCATCCTTATGGTATGACTTCTCTTCTCAGGTCTTCTTCATCCTCCAAGTCCTGCCCGTCATCTCCTCGCCATAGAAGCTCCCCCAGGAGAGAAGAAAGAGGAAGAAACAGAAGCTGAGGACCAACTAGAGGACAATACTGCCCTTGCTGTTGTTGAAGAGCACATCTTCGAGCACTTGCCTCCCAGACTGAACCAAGGTATGATCCAAAGGGAGAGATCGCAGGTAATCTTCCTGTCCCTCCTGGTCTGCTTCAGAGGATTACTGGGATCTGTGGTTATTGCTTGTGCCTGGGCTTGGCCATACTTAGGGATTGTACCAGCATCTGCTGAGTTGGGGTCTCTTAGGTAAAGTCATGGTTTGCTCTATGGAGGCTGGACCGGGAGAGGTTGACTCATTTGACAGTATTCTGCATAGAAAGGAGAAAAGGGGATCTTGCTGCTCACTCCTGAGCCAAGACTTCATTAAGAAGTGATTACATCAGGCTGGGTAACTTCTGGGCTATGATAAGGAAAGAGCTTAAGCCATGTTCTCTTCTGTCTTCAGCTCTTCTGGAGGCTTGTACTGAAAGAAGTGGTGTCTTGACTGGCCTCACCAACATGCTGCCGATCCGTGTGGCCACAGCGATGATGGTCCCCTACATGCTGCCTCTGGAGTCTGCAGTTTCCTTCACTGTCAGGTAAGCCTTCGGGCAGTCCCTGAGTGATGCTCTTCCCAATGAAGAGAGGTGTTTGATATAGCTGGTGGAGCATGAATAGACAGAGTATGATTCTTTTGAATTCTGCAGTGCCAGAGTTCCTGGGGAAGGAAGGAGTTCCTGACAATTAGCAAACTTGAAAAAAAAAGCAAATCCCAAAGAACCCCAAATGAACTAGAAGAACCAAAACCTCAAAACTTTTCATGCCTGTGTCGTTTAGCTACAGCCAATATTTCCAGCTTGAAGAAAGATAGCTGTGTGCTGGAACCTGCCCTAGAAAATGGTGATTTTTGAGCCTTGAGACTTGTGAACTGGGAGTGCAGAGCTTGAAAGTAGGAGCCACACAATAGGTTGTTTCTCTCTGGAGTGAGGGGTAGAGTAGTCCCAGCCATTTCCAGCTGTACACTTGCACAGCTGGGAAGACAGGTCTGTCAGGCTTGTTCTTAGTATTAAGTACTCTGTGAAAAGTTTCTGTAAGGAGACAGTTCGTGATGGAAAGGCTTAGAGAAAAACATGTTCCAAATCTGCAAATGGATGAAAAATATGGAAAGTGCAGGCAGGAAATGTAAAGAATAAGTTTCTGGGTTCTTGACCTTCACAGCTTCTCCCCCTTTGTTCTATGAATGGTAATGTGAATGGCTCTTAACACATTTGTCACTAAAAGTGACCACTGATAGGAGGCAAAACTGGCTTTCTTCTCAGCCTATTCCTTTGTGTGACCCAGCTAATGGATGTCTCCTGTCTCTTTGCAGGTTGCTGGAATGGCTTCCAGATATCCCTGAGGATATTAGATGGATGAGGGAGCAGATGACTGAAATCTGCAACTATCTTGTGAAGAAAGCCAAGAAGAAACTGGGCAGCCATCTTTCAGCCAGGTATGGCTGCTTTCCTTTGCAGCACTGTTCTGGAGGAACCCTCCATTTCCTCTTTCACCTTGGACTTCTAGAGACTCTATTGGAGCAGAGCAAGTAAAGCACAAATTGACCAGAAGGATTTACTGCCCAACCTGAAAGGCAAATCTAGTCCATGGTCTCTTGGCTTCCTTAACTGTTGGATAGACTAAGTACATGGTCTCCTCCCTTCTTCTCATTACAGGATAGACCCTGTAATGAAGCTGTTCCTATAACCATAAGGCAGAAGATGTAGGTCTGATAAAAGCAGTATGCTAACTTACTGCATGTTCCCTGTAGAAGACAGAGGTGCTTGTCTTCATGGCATTGGCTGCCCCAGGGTCCCCTAGAAATCCCTTCCAAGAAGTACTTGTGTGCAAATGACCTTTTCTGCCTCAAGATCTCTACCTGGTTTAGGGTGGCAAGGGCAATATGGTATCCAGGAAACACCAGAGTTTCTGAATGAGACAGAGTGCCTTGAGTCTGTGTGTGTCTCAGTTTCTGAACTGAACTCCCTGCAATAATAGCCCAGGGCTTGAGGCTGTGACAAGACTGTTGCATGGGTGAGGATAGGAAACTATCACAGTAGTAGGCAGAGGAGTCCTGTCTGTGACTCGGATCCTAGTACAAAGGTGTGATTCTTATCCATAGAGTTGTGAGGGGGGAAATGGGTGCACACACAGACTTCTGACTAAAGTCATGCAGTCAGTAGTAGAACAAAATAGGGCTATGGTTCTGGAGCTCTGGTCTGGTGACCTGCTCAAGTCTTCAAACCTCAAAGCTAGATGAAGCCTTGAGCAACCTGGTCTAGTGGGGAAGTGTCCCTGCCCAGGGCAGGGGATTGGAACTAGGTGATCTACAAGGTCCATTTCAGCCCCTAAAATTCTATGATTCTGTGATTCCCATGTACTGATTCTTTGCATGTATTTGCTTTTCAGGCTTTACTATCACTTTGAACTTGGAGGGCCCCAGAGCCTGCCACTATCTTCCTCATCACCTTGCGGTGAAGGGCTGCCAATGTGGATGAGAAGCAACCGTTCGCTGTCTGATGTCATGATGAAGTGGGAGGAGTACCAGCGCCAGCTCATGCTGGGCCTGTTCTACATCAACGTGGACATGCAGGCCTCTGTCTTCCCTCGGGAAGGGTTCCAGTTAAAGCTGCCCCCGCTAGACTGTGCGAAGGAGTGCCTGCCGCTCTTCTGAGCCTGCTGCCGCCAGGGGCTGGGGGTGGGTGGGAAGGGGAGCGGGCGTAGGGTGGGACCAGTCTCATCCCTCAGCAGCAGGCTGCCCTGTGCTCCTGGATATGCTGCAAAGGGGTTTCCCCGGGATGGAGACTGGTGGAATTGACTGTAGCCATGTTACTTGCTGGGCCTGGCAAGGGATCTCTGTGTTGAAAGACACACAGGGCGATACCTTGCCCTAGACTTGCGTTGAGGCTTGGCCATTGCCTTTGGCCAGGCTGATGCTGACCCAGCTGGGCTCTCCCAAATAGTGCACTTTGAATTGCCGTTGGCTTTTTACCACCACATTACCAGGATGTAGATGACGCTCTCAAGTTCAGACAGCTTTTAGCTTCCTTTGTTTCTCAGAGCACGTGTCTTGGTTCTTTTCCTTAAATCGTCCAATATTCCTTAGCTCTTTATGCTACTGAAAACAAAGTAGCCTCTTGCCAAGCCAAATTCATCTCATGGTTTCCAAATCTCCTCTTGAGCCTCTTCTTTGCTGAAACCATGTCCTTTCCTCTCTCTCTTAACTGCATCCACACTGGAAGCCAGAGCTGCCCCTGCTGCAGACTTCACTGGAACTGCAGAAGTGTAGAAAAGTGATGTATTTTCCCTGATACTGTGGTCTCCCTTTTTTGTTTTTTTTTTTATTTTATTCTCATGGAACTGCTGCAACTTGAACTGAATGTTCAGTAAGTTAAGTAAGTCAAGTTTATTTAAAGAAGCAATTTTGACAGATTTTTTTTCCAGGGAAATATATTGAATTTGAGGCCCCATTCCTGTTACTGTGAATGGAATTAGTGTGGGGTTGCCCTGGAAAAGCTCAGCTTGACTATCTCAGGATCAGCTTAGCAGCTGAAGCAATGTGAAATGCTTGTAGGAAGGTGAGATTTGTACAGGGCATGTTATTTTTGAGAAGCTCGTGTTAGATTGTCACAGCAAGTGCTGGGGAAGTGGCTGCCTCCAACAGGGGTTGGTTGGACTTTGCTCCTTAAGGTACTGAAGGAAATTCCAAGTGGGTGATACAGAATGGATCTCCTGAGGCTTGTATTTGTCTTTTGCTCAAAATGTTTAGTTGTTGTGGCTTTGGAGTGAGAAGGATTTAGGCTTGTAGCTACACCAGCCTCCTTCTGGCTTACAGGTACAGCTCTGCAGCTGATAATAGCAGGAGTGTGAGAAGTTGATGCACCTGCAGCTCACTTGGAACTGGCTGTTTTATCTTGCCCCTTAACAGACCAGAGCCAGTGGGGCTGTAGCAGGGCAGGACTGTGCCTTGCAAGGCACTGCCTTCTTAGCAGTGATCTGGTTGTGGCTCACTGTGTAGAAGAATGAACAAGCTGAGACATGGCTTCCTGTGGGGTTTGCATGTGCTTCAAGCTTAAGTCTTCACACAAACCCAGCTCCTGGTATCTTTTTCTGCAGCTTGTCTAGCTACACGAGGCGTCTTCTACCTCTCCTAGCTCAAACAGTGTGCAACTGGCCAAAGCAAACACATGCTGTCTTTGCTGGGGAGCAGGACAGGGTATCTGAAGCTGAATTACGTAGCCTACACGTGGAATAGTGATTTATCATAGACTCTATTTTGCACCTTAGGTTTAGAAAGGGAAAATAAACCCCAGAAGTTCTACTAATAGCTGGAAAAAAGCAGCGAATCTGCTCAATCATGTCTGCATGAGCAGTGTGGGTGAGGTGGTGGGTGCTGTTTCCTACCAGCACAATTGTGCACTGGGCGTGAGTTTGGTGTTTGTGTGGAGACTCTGATAAGCATCAGATAAGCATCACTGCACTTTTCTGCAGTGGCTGTTCCAAGCTGGGAGGCAATGGAGTGGGTAGCTGTGCTGCTGCCCAGGAGACACCAGTGCAGGTATGAACTTGAGACTCAGATGATCACCCCACTGCCCTTTCTGAATGTAACCTACCTATGTAACACAAGGGCCTGCATAGCTTATGAATCAGGCCTGCACTTAGGCAGTCAAATTTAGTCTTAAGCTTTGCATAGTTAAGGCAATTAGGGAACAGGGAAGTTGTTACAGGAAGAGGGAAAAAATGGAGGATTCTAGAACCATAATAAGAATCTTGAATTAAAAAACAAGTCAATCTTGTGATTTTTCTAAAGCCTGCAGGAAAAAAACCAACATCCTTACTGCTAGATATATGTAACTCTAATGAAAGTGAACCAGCACCAAGCTACTGTCACTTAGTGGGAGCAGGATGAATTTGATGCAAATTGGAATTGAGAAAAGGTGTTGTTTTGTGGTTTGGTGTGGGATTTCTTCTGCTGTTTCAAACTACCTTCTCTGGGGGAATGGCACATGCACAGCTGCTTAGTTTGCCAAATGCATATCTCTTGTCCCTAGTGCACACAGAGCAATTGGCAAGAACATAAAGATGTTTAGTGGGAAGAAATTAAGGCATTTCATCCAGAAGCAAAACATCTGTGAGGGGCAAAACTGCATAAGGAAAATCTTGTGCTTAGGAGCTGCTGCCCTTTTGACTGCCTTTTATTTGTGTTAATATATGGGTGGAGAAAATGATGCAACTATTTTTTTTTTTTTATCCCTTCTTCCTGGACTGGTAAAACCACTGAGTGATTATGTAAACCACTAAACTATGAAACAAAATACTCTTGGCAACAGAGTGTGTGCTAAGAAGTTTCCAGCTTGGCACCCTTATCCCTTGGATCTCCTCTGTTCTACTTTTACATCAGAACTGACCAGGCTGGTGCTGACTGGGCTGATGCCACTGTCTTCCAGTGCTTGTGGGTCTGGCTCATGCATTTCAAGAGGCTAATGGCTGTGCCTGGTTAAAGGGCCTGAGTTTCATTCTGTGTTTCACCTCACCTGTAGTTTAGTTTATTATACTAACCTCTCAAAGAGAAACTTTTGTACACTTCAGACTAACCACAAATCAAAGCCTGGCTTTAAATATAAAGGTCTAACTCTTCACGAAGGAAATTGCTGATTTTCCTATGCTAATTTGCAGGGTGTGAAGGGATACTGGGAAAGCACCACTATTAACCCTTTCTTTGCCTGTTTTTATTCCCCAAGTGATAAAATGGCTGTTGCGTGATAGCTTGTTGGCTTTATGGATATAAGCTCTGATAAAGGAACTGTAGATCTGTCAAAAATACCTCAAACCACCCTCATCTTCCTTTTGAGAAGTTTCATCCATTTGCATGGCATTTTTGCTGCTCATTCATCACAGGTTGCAAAAGATGAAGTAGGGAAGATCACTTTGCCCACTGATGCAGAAAAAGGGCTGTAGCAGCTTGTGAAGAATGGCTTTTTTTTCCCCCTGCAGTGCTGCCTTGTCTAGATGAGACCCCACTCTTTGAAATATCTTGTGATAGGCTCTGGATTGGATATGGAGGGGCTTATTGTGATAGTGCTAACTGGACTTCTTCAAGCCTTTGTTCTGTGTGTACCTTGTGGCATGCAAAGTTATCTTCTGGGTAACCATTGCTGATTAACCTGCACTTGCCAAGTTCATAGGCACAAGGTCATCTGTAGCAGCAAAATGTGTTGCATGGCAGCCCAGGAGGTAGTTGCCAGGGCCCTGTCTGCTCTCCAGTATGTGGTGGTGGAGAGGTCAGGTTCCTGGACCAAAAGTTCATCCTGTAGTCCCTGTCCAATTGTCCTTACAGCATTCCCTGGACCCCGGCAGGCATCCCAACCCTTGCCATTTCCACCGTTTTTCATAAAGGGTCTGTGACTTCAGGAATCCACTTTTTTTTCTTTCTCCTTCCTGTGATAGTACTTGCTGTGTTTAACAAGGCTAATGGTGAACTTCTTGTGCCCCTAACCAGCCCCTAACCTGTACAACACTGTAGAGCTGTTTTGTGTACAACAGTCCACACCTACGGCATGCTCAGCCCACAGTTAGTGTGTAGTATGTTGGGTTTGGTTTGCTGCCTGCCCTACTGCTAATACTGTTGCAAGATGATTTTCAAGGGATAGGAGAAAATACTGACCACTATGTATAGGACCTAGGAATTTTTTTCTCATGGCTTCTTGGAGGGCTGTGTCCTTGTAACACTCAGACCAGAGAGTAAAATAGAATCTGCTCTCTGCTAGCACTGGGGTGTCCCTAGTACTTGTATATTCCCCAGTTGGTTTTCCTAATTTGTAAAAAATTAATCTAGTAATTCACTATTTCCTCTGAGAGAAGAGCTCTCGCTTTTGCCAAAATGGTTGTGGGAGAAAGACTTGAAACTCCATGTGGGTTTTTTCCCTTAGGGGTCCATTTCCTCTAAACACATGCTGGATGTGGTGGGTGGCAGGGCTGCACATTGCCAAAATCAGAGGGCCTTGCCAACAGTTTTCTCAAGCTTTCTTTCTGTCTTCCCCTTAAATCAGTGAGAGAATGGACCACCTCACCTGGCTGCTGTGTCAGCCAGTTTGTCTGTGCCAAACACACCCTGTGCCTTTACAGGAGGCTCTGGCCTGCCTGCCCTCTGTCCCTGCCGTGTCTGCCTTGGAGTGCAGCAGTGCTCACTCCCCTCTCCTCTCCCTCCTTCCCCTGGCCTACCGGTGGGACATTGCTCCATTTCCAATCTGCAGGCAGCTCCACCAGGGCAGCCTCTAACTGCATCCATCTCACTGGATCCACATCAGCTCTCCTGCACAGGGAGGGAGAACCTCTAGTTCCAAACAGAAGACTTGGAAATGTAATTTTGAAATAAATACCTCTTTCTTCTGGGGTTTTCTCTTGCTCTTGAAAACAGCATCTAAAGGAGCTCTTTGAGCTAAATGTGTCCTGGGACTCCACTGCTGCCACTGAGTTTGAGAAGACCCTTAAGCACACAATACACGTGGAGATCCTGTGGAAATTACTGACATCAGAGCAGCAACTAGACCAGCAATAACACACAAGTTACGTATTTACATGGCAATGTCACTAAGTAGTGTTCACAGTCACTTTAAAAGTTCAGTATTAAATTGATGCTTTTTTTTTCTCCTGTTTCTATTTTCTAATGTTTTGCTGAAGAAAATGTAACTATTTATTTTGGCAGAAATTATATCTTCTAATAAAAACTTTCTCAATATATTTACCTGGCTGTGGTAGGTTGCTTGCCTTGCCATTTAAAGGTTTATTAAATATATTTTGAATGCACTGTATGATGTGGGTTTATTTTCCTAGGCCCTAGCTCGTTCAAACTCCTCTCCGGGTAAACATGTGTTAGCATATGATGAATGGGGCATTGACCTAGAGGTGAAAAACTGGTTCATTTTCATCCAGTTCAGACTTTCTCAAGCTAAAATGGGCCAACTGCCTCTGTTTATTGGAGCTTCTGCATAGACCCTAGTTTTCAAGAGGAATTGAGCACCATCTTGCTTGGCACCTGTGAAATAAAAGTAAAAGGTTATACACAAACTTGAAGTTTTCCCAATACAGGGGCATCTCATGAGGAAATCAAACCCTGTCTCTTGTGACTGTTTTCCAGTGGGTGA